TGTGACTTCTCAGCCGCCTATTCGATGTACCCATCGAGAGACAAGCGGGGATGTAGTGACCACAGATCCCTGCAGCCTGGTTGACAGGGAAGTTTTGCAACAGTCTCCCCTATAGGCCTCCGTAGCCCTCCTCTGAGCCGTTCTGGTCGAACCGCGACGCCGAGCTTGAAGGCCGGGCCGGTGCGTAATACGCCTGAAAGACTGAATGCGACGACGGAGAAAAGTAGTGGACGATGTACCCGTATTACCTCGGAGGCGGTCGAAGCGGGAGAGGCGCGCGCGTGGTGACCAGGGGAGTCAACACGCCAGAGGCTGCCATTTCTGGCATGCAAAGGAGCGATCGCACGCCGAGATACAACAAATGAGGGGAAAAACGACTGAACAGGGCAGATTAATTGAAATCCTCCATCAGAAAATTGGTGAGATGCAGCAGAAGCTCGGTCAAGCGAAAGACGAACTCAAGCAAGCATGCGAGGACTTGGATCAGACGCGTACTGCGCTTAAAGCCATCACCAATTCGACCGTCTTGAGTAGCCCATGGCCTTCCTACGCCGACATCGCGCGGACTCCACCGGACAGCCATCCAGGCAACTTTACGACGCTATCGACTACTCGCACGACCAGTGCAAGCTCAAGCAATGATCTATGTGAAAGGTGCGAACGCGCAAGCATTGACAGATGCATGCGGTCTGCTTAGGGCAACGATTACGAAAACAAGGCGAGATGAGGGGCAAGTCGTCGACGTGGTCCTCGTTGGAAACTTCAACATCCAAGACCAGCTATGGTGAGTTGAAGATGTGTCGCTGATTAGGCAAGGAGAGGCGGACGAGATTATTGATTCTATGAGTGAACACAGTCTTGGCAGCCTGCTAACCAGGGGGACAAAACATGGCAAGGGCGAGAGTACGAATCGACGATTGATCTAGTTCTGGCTTCTGAGGGACTAGCACAAAACCTCGTCAGTTGCAGGACGTGTAACACGGAACATGGCTCGGACCACAGGACTATTGAGACCATACTGAAACGGCGACAGCTGAGACATACGACCAGGAGAGGCTGCTGCTAGAAGACCGCTGTGGAAAGAGATTCAGGCGAGGATAGCGGCGAACTTGACGGACGCGACCGGTGACATTGTACATGAGAGGATGGATGCGCTTGTGTCTGCGGTGTTGGAAGCGGTTCACGCACCAAAGGCACGGCCATCACCGTACTCGAAGTGATGGTGGACATCGAACTTGACGCAGCTTCGGCAGGTGTACACATACTGGCGCAACCGAGCAATAGCAGTAAGACGCGCTGGATGTGCTGATCAGGATCTCCACGACACAGCCGAGGCAGCAGCCAAAAAGTACCATGATGCCATCCGACAACAGAAGAAAGCGCACTGGAGAACTTTCTGGCAGGCAACGACAATGGATGGCAAGCTGGCAAGTATCTTAAGTCGGACAATGAGGCGGCATTCGGCAAGGTACCGCGGCTCATGCGTGCCGATGGCACCCGTACAAACTCCAATGCAGAGCAAGTGGAGGAGCTCCTGACTACTTCCTTCCCGCCACTGCCGCAGCACATCGAAGAGGAAGACGAGCGCCCACTGCGGGCGGCTGTGCCTAAGACGGACCTGACTTTGGAGGAGGTATAACGCCAGTTGATGACGGCTAAATCGTGAAAGGCGCCGGGTAAAGACGGTCTACCAATGGTGGTTTGGCAGCAGATCTGGCCCGTGGTCCAGCACTATGTGCTGGCGTTGTTCCAGGCATCTCTCGACGAAGGGTTATTGCCGCATCGGTGGCGACACGCCAAAGCCATCCCGCTCAAGAAAAGCAACAAAGAAGACTACGGCGTTGGAGGATCCTGGCGGCCGATATCGTTGCTATGCACACTGGGCAAAGTGTTAGAATCTGTTGTTGCTGAAGGAATCTCCCATGCGGTGGAGACGTTTGGTTTGCTTCCTACTAATCATTTTGGAGGACGTAAGCAACGATCGGTGGAACAGGCGCTATTGCTGTTGCAAGAACAGATCTATGCAGCCTGGAGGGGAGGACGGGTGTTGAGTCTTGTCATTTTCGACGTGAAGGGTGCATACAACGGCGTCTTCAAGGATCAATTGCTTCAGAGAGTGCGGACAAGAAGCGTGCCAGAGACGATTGACCGCTGAATTGAAGCTTCTGCTCTGACAGAACAGCCTCACTTCAGGTCAACGGACAGGAGACCGACGTGCAAGCTCAGCCCCAGGCAGGGCTACCGCAGGGCTCCCCGTTGTCTCCCGTTGCATACCTCTTTTTTAACGCGGACCTGGTGCAACGCAGGATCGATACTGACGAAGGAGCAATCGCTTTTATGAACGACTTCACAGCCTGAGTCACTGGTCCTACGGCTCAAAGCAACCTGGCAGGAGTCCGGTTGATTGTTGAGCAAGCGGCGAATTGGGAACGGCGAAGCGGAGCGACGTTTGAGGCGAAGAAAACGGCAATTATGCACTTTACTCGGAACGCACGCAAACCCGACACAACGCCCATTAGGTGTAAAGGGCAGCTTGTGCCGCCCAAAGAACACACTAAAATTTTAGGCGTGGTGATGGATACAATATATAATGAACATTTATTTGCCAAGAATAATGGCATTGGTTATGTTCCTGCTTCGGTAGTCTTATCCTTGCTCAAGTCAAAAGCTGGTGCATGGTACTAGACGACTCCAACCGCCAAAGGACCCACCCAGTTTTTGAACCAAGTTAAGAAGAACGATCCCCGGCTCAAGATATTGTCTCTACAACCCTATGCAGCGCTCGACCCGTCCAGCGTTTCGAACAAGAGCGTCAATGGCCCAGAACCGAAATGCCGCAACGTAGAGCCCGCGCCCGCGCCGGGCGCCGCAGCCGCATAACACCCGAAATGAAGAAAAACTTATGTGATGAGCTTACCACCGATCCCGAGCTGGATATTGACGAGATGATGCAGACAGTGTTGTGCAGACAGGACTGGTGTGTAGAACCAAGATATGATAGGGTGAACGGGAACGCGGCGTTGCCCGTGTGCAGGCAAGTAGGTTAGGTAGCGAGTCACTCGTAGCCATCTAATCGTAGCGCCCGCGATGTTGCTGTGAGGGTGGGGGTGTGCTGCATCAGAGTGGAGCTTATTCGGTCGAGAATCCTTTGATGACGAGTGTGTGTAACTTGCTGAAAGATTCACGATGGTAGGGAGGATCTGGCTGGGTCAGCGTGATTGCGGGGTTGGCGTTGGCCAGCCAGTTTCCAACACTTGCTCCTGCTGCGTGCGCTGTAATAGGTACCAGGACAACCCAGCACCTGATATGAAACTGGATGCGTCCCCTTTGGATCAGCTTCCAGCATCCCAACTCTTTCGTCAACAATCCAGGCATCGAATATTTCTCCATTTCAGTAGGCACCACCCCTCTCGGGCTTGATATTGCGCCTGTCTAACGCAGGCTTGCTTCACAGATACCTTCCCCTGAAGCTCGATAACATGTCTTCCAGCGACGAAAAGACTGACCCTGCTAAACAGACAGAATTTCAGCTGGGTATCTCCAAGTCAAATGCTACGGCGCTGGAAACTCAAGGTCATGCATCTGCAGAACGGCGTGGTGTGTCATATGGGGCCGGATCATACAGGCTTCCAAATGCCACGGAAGAGACACAGATGACTTCAGCGGCAGATGTCTCTGTCGAGAAAAGGCAGCATGTAACGGAGAGCATCGCCAAAAGCTACAGTTCTAAGTGAGATGTTGCACGCAAATGTGTTGTTGAAGGACACTTTAGTGGATTCTGATTCCTACAGATAGCGTAGTATCCATCTTTCTCCACCTTTGAGTGATGAGTGCCCTAAAGAAGTGTGCAGTTTATTGAGGTGCAACCAAGGGTGCAAACCCTGCTTGCTTTGGTACGTGTTGACTGCTGACTATCTAAAGCCAGATCAGCAGCTAACGAAGTCAACCCCTGAATCAGAGTTGGGTCTCCGCTGGGTGGGGCGTTGTCAATCCACAAAGGGAGTGTCAGCTCAAAGTCAACTCCTTCACAACAATCTGTCCATGAGATTGTATTTCTTTGTAACCCGCTCCTGCCGAAAATGCGACCGCGAATGCTATTTGACGATGTAGCATGGGAGGAGAGCGAGCGCGTCGAACGTGAGTGGATAAAGTCTCTCTTTGAGGAGTCAACACTACGGGCAATTGGCGATTTCATCGTGAAGCATCGGGGCGGTATCCCCACAGAGATGTGCGATCCAAAGGCTGGCGCTTTCAACGCTCTGTTCCGCATGAAGTTTCAAGATGGCGGCTCAGCTGTGATTCGATTTCCCAAACCTGGCGCCACGATGTTTCCCGAGGAGAAGGTTCGCAATGAGGTCGCCATGATCAGGTACATCCAAGACCATACCACCATACCAGTGCCGTTTATTCTTCACTGGGGTACTAAAGAGGAAAGCCCGCTTGGATTGGGCCCTTTCATTATCATGGAATACATTAACCATGAGATGGATATGGGTGCGGCTCTCAACACAGCTGGCCGTGGCACTCAAGACCGGCCACTTCTCGACCCCAACATTGACCCTGCTAAGCTCGAAACGCTATACGGCCAGATGGCAGATATTCTACTACAGCTTTCTACTTTGGAGCTTCCAGCCATAGGGTCTCTTCAACAATCTGACGAGTTCTCTTGGGGTGTGACGCACCGCCCACTGTCCATCCACATGAATGAACTGGTTAGGCTGGGAACCCTACCGAGAGCGAAATTGCCTGATGCTAGCTTTGAGTCTTCATCGGACTATCTTAAGAGCCTTTCACAACTGCATCTGGAGCATTTAATTTGGCAGCGAAACGATGCCGTACAGTCGAAGCCAGATTGCCAGCGAAAATATGTCGCCAGGCATCTGTTCCGAAAGCTTGCAAGTGAAAGGAAACTTTTATCTGTTAAGCATGACAACGGACCGTTCAAAATCTGGTGCGATGATTTGCGGCCATCGAATATACTGCTTGATGCGAGTCTGAAAATTGTAGGGGTTATTGACTGGGAGTTCGCGTACGCCGCACCGGCCGAGTTCTCCTTTGCACCACCATGGTGGTTGCTTCTCGAACAGCCAGAGTATTGGCCGAATGGTATGAATGAGTGGTCGGATATATACGAAAGTCGCTTGCAAACATTTTTGAAAGTCCTAGAGAAATGTGAAGCATCCGCTATTGCGTCCGGCAAGTTGCAGGATGGTAAGCAGCTATCATTCAGAATGCGCCAGAGTTGGGATAACAGTGAGTTCTGGATTGTGTATGCGGCGCGCAAGAACTTTGCTTTTGATGCAATCTTCTGGGAAAAGTTGGATCCAAAATTTTTTGGCCCTGGAGAATCGCCTAAGGATGTTTGGAAGCAGAGACTTAGTCTGCTAGATGAACGAGTCCGGGAGAATATGGAACCATTTGTCCAGAAGAAGCTGAAGGATAACGAGACGAGGGAACTGGCATGGGAGCCGGATGAATTGATTCCTAGTGTTTAGAACTAGTAACAATTACGGAATGGAGCTATTGAACAATCGGACAGCGTTGTAGCACGGCCACCCAAGTGACACAGGTACCACAGATGAGGGAATCAAGAAAAAGACGATGCTACCTTCGCCAGGGGCTTCGTCCTCATATGAGCACATTCAGGTGGAAGACATGTTTGCACTCGTAAGTTCAAGGCGCCTCGTCAAATTTTGTTGTACTATACAATGTATTGTTATGAGTCCAAATCGGTTGTTCCAGCCAGGATAGAAGTTGCAAATGACAGGGCCGCGTGCAGAAGCGACTAAACTGCCATCCAAATTCCAGCTTTTGTTCCTTCAGGCACAGGGTGTATTGATATTATGTACTGTTCAAGTATATCAATATTACCTAGAAATACAGCACTCTACCCATCAGCATAATGTCGTCCTTGGGCTCAGCAGCCATGCCGCTGATCGCTTGGCAAGTAGGCCCGTGAACTGCTCCGGCCCGCCCCCGCGCCACCCGCAACAGATTCCTAAAACAGTCGACGATGGCTAACTCCAGTTGACTAGCGTTGTGTAAACACAAAAATGACCACTAACTACTGCCAACTAGCACAAACTAACGCTCACTAGCTGTCGCTCGCCTGCTCCGACCAAAGTCATTCCTGTGGATTTGATCATCGTTACTGTAACTGTTTTCGCACATAGTCTCCTTGCGTTGCATAGCTATGTTGGAATGCCTGAAGCCGGTGACTCAAGAAACGACCGAGATTTCGACCAGTCGAGTACGCTGATCGCCCAACTAGCCTGCTTTTGCCTCCTGAGCCTCAGCCAGCAGGCGCTCACAGGCCGTCGGCTTGAGGCGGCATTGGATCAAACGGCGCGTCACCTGAGAAAATGGGAAAAAACCGATTACCAAGATCCAGCAACATCGCCAGAGTCACATAACAAAGACTCACCGTCAGCTTCGCCCACAGCAAGCGCCAGCAATCGAAGTAAATATTCCGTCGGCAAGGGCAACAACGACGGCCGCAAAGGCTCAGCATCAGCACCTACGAGGCAATACTGCACACAAGCCTGTCTTCTTGGCCTCAAGTCTGACGCAGACTTATTATTATAGAAATGTGCCAAACAGAGAGCACGGAATTTGTGGAGTATATTGACGACGTCGCTATCGTGGCAGTCGGGCCATCTGCACCTCGTAACTGCAAAACTCTCAAGGCCATTCACCACAAAATGGAAAATGCGCCGCAAAGCACGGCTCGAAATTTGCGCCCGCCAAGTACGAGCTTGTGCATTTCACCAAGGACCCGACAGCGACCAGCACGCATGCTCTCCGTCTGCTTAATACCAAGGTGAAAGCATCCCCGTCATGCAAGTACATAAGTGTCCACATGGACACTAGATTGCGATGGGACTATCACCGAGAAAAATTAGAGGCGGGAGCCACCGCGCGACTGTCTGCTCTCTCGGTCTTGGCATCCTCATCATGGGGTACGGGGCTTACAAAGCTCCGACAAGTATACAGGGCCATGATTGTGCCGCAGATGCTGTACGGATGTTCGGCCTAGTTCATCCCCGACTCGGGGTATACCAGCCGGGGGAGCTCCATGATCAGCGCTATTCGCAAGATTCAACGTCGCGCTGTGCAAACCATCACGGGCGCTTTCCGTACGACAGCGGGCAGCGCAGTCGACGTTGAAGCCCACCTGCTGCCAATGCTTCAACAGCTTGAGCAGACAGCGGTTGAGACGACAATGCGCATAAGAACCACGCCGTTGTTCAACGACATGGTCGCGGTTGTGGCAACCGGGAGAGAGGGTGTCAGCTTTCCGACGCCGTAAGCCCTCTTGACCGATTTTCAACAATTTTCGAGGACAAGTTCGGCGCCCAACTTAAGCAAATTCGTGGGCACCTCTGATGTATCCACAGTATACGCGGCGAAGCCAGTCCCGGCCAATGCACCATTTTCACCGATTACCAAGCGGCACTTCAAGCCATACAGAACCCAAAGAGCCCGTCCGGCCAATACATCCTTACTGAGGCAGTACAGGCCCTGAACGCACTGCGGAGTCATAAGTGGAACACTCAGTTCCGCTGGATCCCCGCACATGTCGGAGTGCCTGGAAACAGTTGTTTCCGAACGGCAGGTAACGTCAGCAGCTCTGATACGGAGGCTGAAGCTACCAAAAGCAATTATCAAGGGATCAAACATCACAATGTATCAGTAGTGTCGCAACGCAACAAAAGCAAGCTA